TTTTTTTTTTTTTCAATGCAAAACATTTATTGGTACATTTTAGGTATACATAATGATAACACTCATCACAGGGAATTTGTACCTGTACATGATATATCCTGTCTCTTCTTTTTTTCCCATTCCCATTACCCCCTCCTTTCAAGCCTCCCACCCCTTCCTATTGAGCATGCTGTCTTTTTTTTTTTTTTGGTATCAGGGATCGAACTCAGGTTCTTGCGCTTGCGCGGCAGGCGGCGAAACCACTGAGTTAAATCCCCAGCCCTTTTTTTTTTTTAAAATATCAAAGTTATCATGACAAAAAAGTAAAAAACTTTATTGGACTTTGTTACATTATTTTACAGGTTAGTATTGCTTTTATTTTGAATTATATAAGGTGGAGAGATGGGACACTAGAATTTTAAAAAAAATTTTTTTAGTATATGTGCTGCCGAAGCGAGCACGTTTTTTAAAAATTTTATGACACTAGAATTTTTTGAAGTTTAATACCTTCAGTGTTTTTACTGTAGCTCCCCTGCTGTGAAGGAAAGTAGGAGAGATTGAGGGCCAAACCTATCGGCCCTGCAAATCCTTTGCAACTTTATCTCTGCATGTAAACCTACCATAAACCACTGGAGTAAAGAACGGTGTTTCCAACAATTCACATCAAGTGCTGCTTCCCTACCTCCCACCTCTGCTCCAACTGAGACTGCCCCTCTTCATTCTGTAAGACAACCTCTAATCTAACCTCCATCACCTTCTGAACATCACTGGCCTTTGTATCACCAGTCTCATATTAACCCACACTAAAATTAGCAGCCACTGTCAGAGTACTTAAAGTGGGTTAAGCATTTTGCAAAATAGCTGTCTTCTTCAAACAGCCTATGTATAAGGTACTAATACTGAGACAGAGATGTAGAGTCATTTTGCCCAGGATCACAAAGCATACTATATATTCGGTATTAGCCGACCAGTTTAACATCTAGAAAATAGCAAAGCTGGGATGCAAATCCAAAAGATCTATTAAACTATTAGCCTATTAACTATTCCTAAGGGACCACTTTCTTCTCTGTAACACAATATGGGCGTCTTCCTGCTTCCCATCTAAATACAGTGGACCTTCGAGTTACAACCAGCCTGACATACAAACAACTTGGGTTGTGACCAGAATTTTAGTTGTTTTTTGGTTTTGTTTTTTTTGGTACTAGGGATCAAACTTGGGTCCTTGCACTTGCGAGGCAGGTGACAGAACCACTGAGCTACATCCCTGGCCCCAAAATTTTAGTTTTAACTTATGACCAAAGTCTTGAGTTACGACCCATATGCCGGGCACTTGTGCTTCCAGATGGTCTCAGATACAGATTTAACCCTTAAAGAGTTCTTGAAGGAGCATGATAACATCTTCTCCTATGTGGGGTTAATTGAGAAATCCTGGGCCAGTCTGGAAGCCTCTTTTGAAGGACGAGATAGGAAGGCGTGTGTGTGGGTAACGTAGAAGGACTCTACAGGACAGGGCACACACCAAAGGGCTGCAGGGTTGGGTCCTGAGCAAACAGCACTGCCACAGTGCACTTAAATCATGAACTGCCACTTTTAAAACTCAAGAGCTGGTGGCACATGCCAGTAAGCCCAGCACTCAGGAGGGTGGGGCAGGAGATCACCATGAGTTTGAGGCCATCCTGGGCTACATAGCAAGAACCTGTCTCAACCCCCCCCCCAAAAAGAGTTGAATTATTGTCCTTTCCTTTGGATAGGTCATGGGGACTTTTGATCGAGTCCTCAGTCGGCCAACTTGGCATTCATATGACCTGCCTGGCCTTTGCAAACATGTGTTTGTTTTGGTACCAGGGATCGATCGAACTCGGGTCCTTGCACTTGTGCAGCAGGCGGCGAAACCACTGAGCTAAATCCCCGGCCTTTGCAAACATTTGAATTGATGACCTTGTTCTAGGCATGTATAAGCTTGGACTCTAGAGCCACACTGCTTAAATACAAATCTTGCCCCTTATTTACTATGGGACCTTGGGTAGGTATCTTAACCTGTCTGACTTAGTTTGGCCACTGTACTGGTACCGATTTCATTAGGTAACAGAAAGGTGATGCACATACCTCTGGGCACAGTTCCTGGCACTTAGTGACAGCTGAATATAGTTTATGTGGTGTTTTCTAACTCAGGCTGCCTGAGTTTCAGAATCTGGATCTTTCTCCTTCCCTGCTTCTTACAGAATCCATTCAATTGCTCTGGGGCCGGGGCTGGGAGGAGATGTGAGGTACCCAACTTGCAGGAGATGGCAGGAGGACAAGGCTGAATATTTTGGGAAATTGGGCCATGGTATACGTCAGCAAGAGTTTTCCAGAAAAAGGGATCTAGGCCAAGGTTCTTCGTCCTAGTCTCTCCCAGGGCCTGGACCATGGAGCTGACCCCCTCAGCTAGGTTCACGGGTGATGGTTCCCTTTCCTGTGTGGTCTGTACAGATGAAGAGACCCAACTCCCAGTCCCAGGATATCCTGTTCTAGTCCTAACCCCCACCAAACATGTAGCTCTAGGACAGTGGTGGTGGACATTTTAGAGCTTTCAATGACACAGACAGCCTGCTGCTGCAGCACATGTCCCATAGGTTCACACCACTGATCCAGGATGACCCCTAGGGTTATAGACCTCTGTCATGCCTGTCAGACCCAAAGGCTGGGCACAGAAGGGCAGGGGCTAACCCAAGTCACCTAGTGCTATGACTCCCATTTCAGCTGTCTCTGATATTCACCCCCACAGGAGCAGACTCCTAAATGACCTCCCTCAGTCTGGTCTGCTTTCTCCTCCTCCCTGTGATAACAGTGGGGAAATCATAGACGATGGCGAGCCTAGGGCACGTGTGGCATAGCGAGCTGTTCATCATTGAAAGCACTCAAGGGTTTGCCATCTCTACCCTAGACAAGCAGGGTTTCATTTTGTAACCGCCCCTGCTAAGAATCCTTGGCAGAGCCTCAGTTCACACCTGTCCAGCTGGCAAGTAGGTCCAAGCCACACCCAGTATGTAGGTCTTGCTCTGACGCACCTGGATCTAGGGTTCCTGATGACAAGAGTCACAGCTCATGCCGGCCGGGTGCTTGGCAGGCTGCAGATGCACCCTACCTACATGATCGCTCAACTTCCCACTGGCCAGTGAGGGAGTGGAGGCGCCAGGTCACACTGCTGGCCACTTGCAGTGAGGAGCCTGGACTGAACATCTGTTGATTCTGCACCCCAAGACGAGACCTTCAATTCCACTTCCTGAGGCCACTGCTGGGACCGTTAGCGGCTATCACCCTCCCATACCTGCAGTTTATCAGCTCGAGTATCAGTCATCAGCTTCCTACCCAGCAGGTTCCCCACAGGCATCACCTCTGCCCTGGAGTAGTCCCCTTCCTTGGGATGGGCCCTCCTTCAGCTGAGTGACCCTTCCCTGCAGATTATTCTTCCCGAGCTCCGGTTCTGTTGACACCGCCCTCACCCAGCTCCGCTCTCCCTTTGAAACGCTCAGGATTTAGCAACCACTTCTGCCGGGATTTACCGCCCTTCCCCACATCTTTAGGGAAACCCTCCTATGCTCCGGGGTCCTGTTTATGCCCCTGCTCCAGCAGAAAAGGACTTCTTCAGTCCCTTGGGCCCCTTTGCTCCCTTTACCCTCTTAAGGAACCGCCTTTCCCTTTACTCTGCCTTCTCTTCCTTGAGTCCCGTTCACTTCGCCCGGACCCTGTGCCCCCACTCTGCGGCCCCTCACCATGGCGAAGCCCGACAGCAGGGCGGACGTGCGGCTGGAGGCCTTCAGCTTGGCCCGGCTGAGGTAGAGGCGGCGCCAGCTGAGCGCCCGCAGCGAGTGCTGACTGGCCCCCACGAGGTCCAGGTAGCCGCGATGCACGAACTCCCGGTACGCGGCCGAACCTGCGGGGCTCTCGACCTCGGGGTTCAGCGGGACCTGCTCGGCCGCGTCCCCCTCGCCGCCCCTCATTCTGGGGGTGGTCACGGCGGGGCCAAAGCACCTCGGGGGCACCCAGAGGCTCGGCCCAAGCCGGGGGAACGCCCCATTCCCGGAGGGCGGGCGGAGGTGCAGCGGCACGCGCCCCCGCGGAACGGAGCCGGCGTCGGCGTCTCCGGGCTGCCCCGATGGCCGGAGCCGGACGGCCGCGTTCGAAACAGGAACTGGGACAGAGGCGGAGCCCGCGACCACATGACGGGGCGGAGCCGGGACGAGACCCCGCGGTCCGAGGCAGCAGCCCCAAGGGGCCCGGCGCTCCCACCCGCCAAGGACATCCAGGCGCCTACGCCCCGCGGAGGCGACCGCCCCGGCCCGGCGCTCCCGGGGCAGGGGACACCCGCACATCATCAGGTACCCAGGACCCCAAGCCTACCCCAGTGGACCTCCGCACGACGGCAGAGGGTCACCTCCAAGAGCCGCACCACACACACACTCGGCGGCCCCGGCTGGAAGTTTGTGTTTTATAGCAAACCATTTTGTACAGACCTGGGACCCAGGGGCCCAACCCGGCAGGGTAAGCCCTAGCCCTCAGCGGGCGGCCTCCTCAAACCTTCCGCCGTCCCCGGGCCCCTCCCCTCCAGCCTTTGGTCCGCCCAGCCCCTCCCCCCACCCTCGCGCCTCCCAGTTACCTGAGGTATGTGGATAGATCCCCCCATGGTACAACCCGGCTCCCCCCAAGCCCAGGCTGGGGGGCGGGACCTGGCCCCGACCTCCCCACCCCCTCAATGGAGTAAGGGGTGGGAAAGCCAAGAGTCTGTCACTAAGTTCCCATGGCAACTGAGGGGCCATTTCCAGCCTTAGCACTGGCATAGGGAGGTGTCCATTGGCTGCTGTTTCCACGGCAACCAGCACTGACAGGTCCCTGGGCAAATGGGTTACATGTTTCTGTGACGATGAAAACGTGGGAAGAGCCAAGCTGGAGGAGTCCCATCTTCCCCATCCTTGGGCTGCCACACCCCATCCCCAACTCAAGTCAGGAGGGGTACGCTGCTCCAGAGCGCGCCGGGGTGGCACGGTCCAAACTAGGCGCCCACCGGTCCAGTCAGTCCACGCTGGTCTCGCCTCATCCCACTCCGGCTCCCCCAGGTCCGAGGTCCCCCGGTTCAAGTAACACTTCAGTACGGATGAATGTTCAAGTATTGTGCGGAGAGGCGGGCGGGGCTGGGTACCCCTCGAACTCCCCTGGGCCGCGAGCTCAACAGCAGGTAGGCCCGCACCCACCCCCCGCGATAGCTGCCGTTTTCAGTGACGTCCAAGGAGTCAAGGCGGGGAAGAAGGGGTGGCCCCGCTGGGCTCCTGCCCCTCCCCCAAGGACGCCAGAGCCCCTGCTCCTCTGCCTCCCCTCCGCCCACCCCCCAAGTATCTGGTCTTTGCTTCCTGCCCCCCTCCACCTCCCGGCCCGCGCCCCTCTCCCATCTCCCTCCCGAAGACTTGCACTGTAACCCCCCCGCCCACCATCCCATTGGCTCAGCTCCCCAGGGGACGGAAGAGAAGCGGGTGGGGGGGGTGGAGGCCCCCGGAGATCAGTGCAGGGGGAGAGGCGCTCGGTCGGGGGGTGGGGGGTGGGGTGACCTGGCCTCCCAGCCGGGGTGCACGAAGGCCCGGGGTCCAGGCTCCTGACGAGTCCTGGGGGAGGGCGGGCACCCAACTAGCTGTCCTTGAGAAGCAGCTTCTCCTCTGGGCAGCGGAAGGGGCCAGGGGGCCCAGCGGCTGCCAGCCGGGCACAAGCTTCAGGTGAGAGCTGGCGGCAGGAGCGCAGGTCTAGGCGGCGGAGACGTGGGCAGCGGCGGAAGAGCGGGAGGCAGTGGTCGGTGAGGCGGTGGCAACCTGCGGAGGGCCAGGGGCAGTGGAGACCAGGTAGGTGAGTAGGCAGCTGACTCTGGGGGCCGGCCATGGCCTTCTGCCTGCTCCCTGCTCCCCCAGACTAGACCGAGGCACCGCCCCAGGAGGGCTGCACTGTGACCCTCCCTGTCCCCTTCCTCCGCATGCCCTATGGATCGCGAAACCACCAAACCACCACGCTGAGTCCACCTAGGCCAAGCAGCACTACTTCCCCTCCCCTCCTGTTTGCCTCCCACTATAGATACAGAGTGTGGGGCTCAGCCATTAGCTGCCCACGAGCTATGGTTCCACCTGGTCCCAACTTCCCGTAATACTCTTTTTCTTCCTTTCTGCTTCATCTCCCACCGCTCTCCCCGGCTTCCGACCCTACGCTGTGCCGTCGAGGCAGACCAACAACCAGGCTTGCAATCTTACCGGCAAGATTGAGGTGGACCAGGGTCTCTCGGAGCGGGGAAGTGGGAGCTGTGAGGAGGTGGACGCTGGGGTCTCCAACATGGGCACAGTGGCTCAGATCCAGGGCGCTCAGCTGGGGTGCATGGCGTAGCAGGAGCCGCAGGGAGGCGTCTGTCAGCTCCAGGCCCGCCAGGCGCAGCTCGGCCACCCCCTGCAGCCGCCCGCGGCTCTCCGTTTGCCCTGGGCAGACAGAGGAAGCGATGAGCACTCCTGGCCACTCCCATGCTGCACCCAGGCCACTGTGTCTCCCACTCATGATCCTCCTCAGCACCCCCAAACCTGCTCCTGCAATATAGGAGCCTCAAGTGGCTGTGTTCTCTAAATGGTTTGCTCTTCTCCCCGCTCCCACACCACCTGTCCACGGCTCTCACCACCTCAGGAGACTCAGAATTTGGACTATTCCTCACACTTCCATCCCTTCCCTGTACCCCCTTAGTATCTGGCGTATTACACATATTCTTTCATACTACTCTTCCTCTCCCCCCATGGGAATGTGAAGTCCATGAGGGCAGGACTTTTTCTACACTGCTCCAGCCCTAACAACTGAGAAAGAGCAGGGTGTCTACCGTATTTTCATCTACTCACCCAACACGTGAACCCCTACAGGGAGCCACCCCACGCTCCACTTCCTCGGCTCCATGGTTAGTAAAGTCACCATCTGGAGCTCTCCGGTCCCCTTGGTCACCTCTAGGTCCACAACACCTTTCCGAACTGCTCCCGTCTTTTCACTCCTTCCAGTCTCTTTCCTGGCACTCAGAGGGAGCTTGTTTCAAATACAAATGGGGCAATGCCTCTCCTCCACTAGAAACTAACAAGAGCAACTCAAAGAAATCCAGTCTCCTCAGCAGAACATTCCATTTCCCATCGGGTCTCATCCCTGCCTCAGCTCCTAACTCCTCTCCCTCACCCCTACACAGTGAGACCACAGCCCATGAGTGACTCTGCAAGCGACGGCCTATGGCCACTGTGCCCAGCTTTCAGGACTGAGCTCAGGTGAGCAGCTCTCTGCCTCCTCCTGAACCCAAGGCACAGTCTGCACTCTGCCTTTCTCCTCTGCCCTGGGAGGCTGGTCTCTGGCCCCAACCCAGAGTTGTAACAGTGGCTACTGCAAACCCTTAGGGTTGGGTCTTCTTTTTATTTATTTATTAATTTTGGGACAGGGTCTCACTATGTAGTTCAGGCTGGCCTTGAACTAACGGTGATCCTGCTTCAGCCTCCCGAGTGCTGGGACTACAGGTGTGCGCTGCCAAACCTGGCAGGGTTTGGTTTTCTGAAAAGTTCTCCTAATATTGATGCCACTGGGCCAGAGAACAAACTGTAAGAACACCAGCCTTGGGAGACAAGTTCTCTGATCATCATCCCTGTTAATGGACAAGAAAATTGAGGCTGTGTCATAAGGCCTTCTGTCCAAGGTCATGCAATTAAGAAATAAGGGAGCCAGGAGACCCAGGCCTGGTGACTGCCCCCAACTCCCCCAACGGGGGGTGGAACTCAGGACCCTGCGCTTGCCGGGCAGGCATGGCACCACTGAGCTACATCCCCGGCCCTGCATCCAAACTCTTACCACAAGGTTACCTGCCTGCCTGACAGCAGCCCGGCCCTGACAAGCTCCATCGGATGTCAGATTCACGAAAACTGCCTTCAAGCGTTTTATAGAATCTGCACAGCACTAAAATTTCCTTAAATAACTGTTAGACGTGGCAGCACTGGACCCCCAGCCCACCTGGTGAGCACTGCCTATAGCAGGCCCACTAGTGCCTCTCCCTGACTCCCTGCTCCAGACATCTCTTCTGTTACCTAACAGGCCACCTGTGTGTGCTCAACTTGGCACACCCTAGATCAGCGGTGGCAAGCCTATGGCACTGCCATCACTGCCCTAGATTCTACTCCCCCTTCTTGGTAATAGGAGCTGAGAACCTGAAGAGGGGAACATTAACAGATTCCCTTAACCTTGACCACAGCTAAAGGCCATTAGAGCAAAGAGAGGTCACTTCTGGCTTGGCCATGGGGAGTGGGCATCAGTGAGGAAGTGGTGGCACCTGAGCTGGGCCTTCAAGGGTTTACAGTGTACCAGTGTGGGAGAATACACCAGGCAGAGGGCAAAAGCCAGGAAGTAGAATTTTAAGTCTTGCTATGGGATCCTGCTGGAGGCCAGGGAGTCAGGAGAGCAAAGGTGGGTGTGAAGCCCTATTTGCACAACAGGGCTGAGGGACAGGAAAGCTCCTTTTTGCAAGCTCCAGACAAAGGGCTTGAACTGAACTGAGACAACAGGCGAAGAGGTGCTGGTGTAGCCCACTGGCGCTCCAATCCCGAGCACATCACCCTCCTATCTTTCTGGCTCAGTCCAGTTCCAGTAAGAGTGGAGAACAGGTGAGCACTCAGGCCTGGCTCCGCCTAGGCGGCTTGCGGCTGACAATAATCACTCAGCCTGGGCCAGGGATTTAGCTCAGTAGTTCCGAGGCAGGTGCCTCGAAAGCACAAGGTCCCGAGTTTGATCCCCGATACCAAAAAAAACACAAAATAATCACTCAACCACTTGCTCAGTCAACTGGGTCTCAGCACCGTATTTAGAAAATGGGAAGAATCCTGGATCCCTACTCCCCTTCAAGGGCCGCTGTGAAAGGCAGTGGGGCAAGAAGAAGGGACCAGAAAAAGGGAGCTGTGAGAAGGAGGATCCTTTCATTCTCTTTATTTCAGGGCCCAGTAAATGCCCTTTGGGAAATCTCTCAAGCTGATCTCTCCCATCCTGACTGTCTACTTGTTCACTCAATTCTTCCTTTCAAGATATTTACTGAGCACAACACTAAGTAAGGTGCTGGGGTGAGCAGACAGTCCTTGCCTGACCGAGGAGCCTCGTGGGGAGGAAACTGATCTTCATCAGGCCCCTCCCACCTGCAGTGATATGTCAGGAGGAAGGGGTGGGGCCTTCTAGGAAGGGGCATTTATGCTGAGGCCTGACAGGTTTTGATGTCCATTAGACAGAGGGGAGGAAGATGCAAAGAGGAAAGGGGCAAGGCCTTAGGCTACAAGGCAGAGAGAGAGTCAGTGGGAGCCAGACCATACTAGGTTTCATCAACTGGGCTAAAAATACTGGTCTTTTGAGTGGATAAAGAAGATGTGAGCCGGGGACTTAGCTCAGTGGCACCGCACCAGCCTCGCAAGCACAATCCCAGGTACCAAAAAACAAGAAAAAACAAAAAAACAAAAAAAAGAAGGGCCTTTACTATTTTCCAAAATAAAAGAAATACAGTAAAAAAAAATGTAATTTTTATACAACGGAACACTACTCTGCCATAAAGAAAGATGAGCTTCAGACATTTCTAGCTAAATGGCCGCACCTTGAGAACATATTCTTAATTACAGTAAGTCAGACGCACGTGTTTAAACACCGCATTGTTTCTCTGGTGCGAGAAACTGAAAGTGGAAATGAGGACTGAGATGCATAATGATGTTGGGCAATGGGAAGAAAGTGTCCAAATGGGAAGGGGAACAAGGAGGAGGGAGGGGGACAGGAAGGAAGGGACAAGGAAAAAAGTGAAAATAGAAGGAAAAAATGGAAACAAAGCTTCTGTGCATAGGGAGGGGAGGGGGCCTGAGGGGGGAATGGGATAAAATTTATTTAAAAAAAAATACTGGTCTTTATCCAAGGAGTACTAGGGACAATGGCAGTTTAGAGCACTAGGGTGGACATGGGCAGGGATGCCCTCCTGGATGATGAAAAGACTGAGAGCTAGAGAGGACTGTAGCTGGTATCCCATCTCCTGGCTTCGTGTGGCCTCAATGCCCATCCCTCCGCCTCCGGATGAGCCCCAAGCTCCTCAGGCCTCTGCTCCCAGCACCCTCTTCTGCCAACACAGGCCGCCTGCCCCACCAATCTGCTCATACCATGCCTCATACTCCCTGGGAAAACACCATCCTTTCAAGACTCAGTTCAAAGCGCACACCACATGAATGAATGAACAAACAGTACCAGGAAGGGCCTCCCTATTCAACTCATGTGCTCTTCCCTTCTTCCAATCCTTCGACATCCAGCACGAGTCATGAGAGGCCTCAAAGGACTTTACCCCATCTTTCCAACTTGTTCCACAGATGAGCACAGAGGCCCCACCTGGTTTGGTGTCTGGTGGAGGCAACAGCAGCTCTCGGAGCTGGGAGTCCTTAACATCCTCAATCCAGCGCAGGTCCAGGAGCCGCAGGGCTGGCAGTGGGGCTGAGCCCAGGGCAGAGACAGAGAGCCAGGAGCAGCCGGAGAGCACCAACTCCTGCAGGCCTGGTGTGTGTGGGGAGTCAGAAAGCAATACTTTAAGTCCCCAACTTAAAAGGATTCGAGCTGCAAAGTTTTACAGATATGAATGGACCTCACTTTGGGGTTTTTTTTGCTTTACATTGTATATCTGTGTCAAAGGTGTACAGGACTCTCTTTGTCAGACTTATGAAAAAATCCAACTTACGAATGTTCTCCCAGAATGGAACTCATAAGTCAGGGACTCCATCCGAGGCCCGTCCCTGCCCCTACCCTATCCTGACTCAGCACCCCACCCTACCTTGCAGTCGGTTCAGAAGCCACATGAGCTGCTTCTTGGAGACACCTGTCCAGCTGAGGTCCAGGGCACGGGGCTGGCGGCGAACCACCCCACTGAGCATGGGTGGTGTCAGTGACTTCCGCCGGCTCAGGTCCATTCGAGGCCACAGACGCTTGTCGTAGCACCTGCCAGCCACAGGGAGGAGACAGAGACAACCTCAGCTCCTGGGGAAACCACAATTCCCACACTCCCCACAGTTCACACAGTTCTTTCCTGGCATTGAGAAGCTCCAGGCTGGGGCCAAGAGCACTGGGTTTGGGACCCAACTCCATCACTGACTGGATGCAAGACCCTGGGCAAGTCTATTCCTCTCCCTGAGCCTCAAAGGTCTCCTTTATAAAACAAAAATAATAACCCAGACTGCCCCATAAAGGTGCAGTAAGATCAAATGAGGTAATTACACATTGCAGGCCTTAAAGGGGCCTATAAAGAGTTTTGCCAAATAACTACACAAACACCAGCACACAATTTGATCTGATGCCAAAGGGATCTGTGGCCAGCCCCCAGCTCCCTGCTTCTGGGCTCCTTGATTTCCGTCACAACTTAAGGTGCCTCACAGACAGGTCTCATCTCCTCTACTAATCTCCGCCACCTCGACAGCCAGTGCCCAATGCTGGACTCACAGCCCTGATATGTTCTTTCTGTGTTCCTCCAATTAGAATGTAAACTCCACAAGGGTAGATTTGGCTTTTTTCCCTTCTGCATGTTCAATATCCAAACACTACCGGGTGCAAAATACAGGTTATTTGTTGCACATTTCCGAAGAGAATGAATTAAGCCAGTGTAAACTGCTTAAAGCTTCCACTGAGCACTCCCCTTGACAATTCCTTTGCAGCTTTGCATTTACTCACTCAATGTTTATTTATGGAGGGCCTGGTAGGTCCCAGGTACTGAAGCTACAAAAAGAAATGAGGTGTGAACAAAGTTAAACAGCTTTGCTAACTCCAGCACGCCCAAAGCCTCAACCAGTCTAATACTCTGTGAAAGAGAGGGTTTCCCATACTTACTTCACCATGGAACCCTCTCCACCTCTCCTACGGTGGCCAGCATTAGTATTAACATTCTACAGCACGCTAAAGTACAGAACTGTCTTCTAGTTCTGTGTAGTCAGGAGACTCTCACTGAACTAAATGAGCTGTCAGAGCCAACAAGTGGGGCCTAGGAAGACCTATATTCCCTCCCTCAGGCTCCTCAAGAGTCTAAAGGACTTTCCCATTCAGCCCTGGGCTGGAGCAGAGATGTCCAAACTCCACTCATTTGCTCTCCTCTTATCTGCAGAACATGAAATTTACTTTCAAATCATCTACTCTTCACTTAAAACCAGTTGGGTTGTTTTCCTTTTTTTTGGTACCAGGGATCGAACTCAAGACCTTGAACTTGCAAGGGAGGCACGGTGCCACTGAGCTACATCCCGGCCCAAGCAGTTATTATTTTGAAAATGGACAGGAGTAAGCCATGAGTTTGAGTCACTTAAAACTGCCAACCAGCCACACAGTGGTGGTGCACGCCTGTGATCACAGCGCTTGGGAGGCTGAGGCAGGAGGATTGTCACAAGTTCAAGGCCAGCCTGGGCTACATAGTGAGACCTTGTCTCAAAAAAACCAAATAAAGGGCCGGGGATTTAGCTCAGTGGTTCCACCGCCTGCTTCGCAAGTGCAAGGTCCCGTGTACAATCCCTGGTACAAACAACAACAACAACAAAAGAATAAAAAAACGCCAGGTAGCTAGGCAAGGTAGCATGCACTCGTAGTCCCAGCTACTCAGGAACCATGAGGCAGGAACCATGAGTTTGGGCCAGATTGGGTACACATGAAGACTGACGCAAAAACAAAAACTGCCAGGCACACTCCAGCGCCCTTATGCGACATTTTAGTGACTACTAGATGTATACACCAAGGCTTCAGTCTGAATAAAACCCCTCTGCTACTCACTCTCCTGTCCCTTCCTAACACGTCCCACCCCATCCCCACTACTCTCCTCTCTCCTCCTGATTCCCTGCACTCAATGAACATTTGCAAATCTTTCCAATTTTAAGAATGAAAAGGAAAGCCAGGCACAGTAGCGGATGCCTATAATCCCAGCACTCTGGAGGCTGAGGCAGGAGGCCTGCTCCAAGTTCGAGGCCAGCCTGTGCTACATAGTGAGTTCAAGGTCAGCCTGAACTACATATGAAGACACTGTCTCAAAAATAAAAAAGAATGAAGGGTAGAGGAAAAAACTCGATCTCAACCTGGCCTCTATTCCTTTTCTCTTTCCATTTAGTGAACTCCTGCTTGATGCAAACCCTCTCTCTGCCCCGACTGAGCCCTCAGCCCTTGGCTCATATGCTACCACTTCCTCGAAGCCCTCCTGGATTATCTTTACCTGGGAGGGAACCTCTCTCCTGGAAGAGACTATCGAGTCCCTAATTGTGTTTTTGGACCATACTCCACAAAAGCCAGGCCAAACCATCTGCCTGCCTACAGACAAGCAATGCTGTCTGGGGCCAACACATTCTGGCACACACAGTGCCGCTGCTGAAAAGGCCATCGGGGCTCAGCTCAGTGCCTCTGCTCTGCAAGTCTCCCCGAGCCCGTGTGCTCTCTGTGCTACTGCAGCTGGGCCTAGGACACCGGGGTTAGACATTAGCAGCAGCCAATAATCATTGAAAGGTCCACTGATAACAAGTGTCCAGCTTCACTGCCTGACAGAGAGCAGGTAAAGATGGCAGGGTTGTTGCTATTCAAGTAGTAAAGACACAATTTAAGGTAACTGAGGCAGAAAGAGATACAGGAAGAATCAACTCAAGGACCAGGACAGGAAGCATCCTGGGAGATGGGGCCTGAGCCGTGAGGAGAGCAGCTGCCATGCCATTATTCCAGCAAGGAGGAGGAGGAGGAGGAGGAAGGGTGGAGACTGTGTCCAGGTGCACGACAGTCTAGAGAGAGCTCCGGGAACCTGAGGCAGCAGGAACCAAGGGCAGCTCATTCTCCTGACTAAAGCATGAATGATGAGTTCTCCAAGGCTTACTACAGGCCAGGTACTGTTCTTTAAGCATTTAGCCCCATAACAGCCCAAGAAGACCATTTCACCTTTTTTCTTCTTCTCCCATATACTTTCAAACATCCCTAGATTACTTATGATACCCAATATAAATGCTACATAAATAATGAGTACTGTTGAGAGAAACCACCAAAAAAGATCTGTTTATGTTCAATACAGATGCCTAGTGTTCTATCACTATGCTACACCCCCAGCCCTTTACACCACCCCACCCGCATACCAGGGATCAAACTCAGGACCTTACACTTTCAAGGCAGGCGGGGGAACCACTGAGCTAAATCCCGGGCCCCATTTTTTTTTTTTCTTTTGGTACCGGGGATCAAACTTGGTACCTTGCACTTGTGAGGCAGGCACCGGAACCACTGAGCTAAATCCCCAGCCCGTCCTACATTTTATTTTGAGACAGGGTCTCACTAAATTACCCAGGCTTGGCCAACTTCAACTTGCAATACTCCTGGTTCAGCCTCCTGAGTCCTGAGTTGAGTATTTTTAATCTATAGTGGTGGCAGATGTAGAACCCATGGATGTGGAGGGCCAACTGTATTTACTTGATGCAGATTAAATGAGGTGATTCCTGCAAAACACTTAGCACAGTGCCTGCCTGAAGGGTACAAAACACTCAATAATTAAGGGCAAGGCAGAGCAGGACCTACAGGGATCAGAGTATGGGACAAGTCAGGAGCTTTTGCCAGGTTGGCCATAGTAACAGGTGCAGTGAGGCAGGGCTTGGGTTGAGAACTCTAAGAAAGGGAATGGCTTGGATGCTGTGATATGTGAACCCCCATGTTGGGCTATGGGGGTAACTGGAAATCTCCACTGAGTTTTAGCCTAGGAGCTGGATGGGAGCAGTGGTCTTCCCCAGGCTTGGGGATCAGAGGAATGGGTTCCAGGGGAAAATGAAGAGCTCAGGTTTGACCTCTGAAAGGCAGGTGGGGCAGTCAGATGATGCAGGAACAGCACCTGGAGCTGCTGATCCAGTGCTCAAGAGAAAGATATATGTGGGGGAGTTTTCAGCCTAGAGGTAGCAGCTTTATGGAGAGAGGATAGGCAGGATTATCAGTGTTTGTAAGTTAGAGAAAGAACAACCCAAGAATTAGAGGAGATCAAGGATAGAGATGTGTTGTAAACAGGGGAAAGGGTGGGTGAGCAGCAGTAGATACTGGTGAGGGGTCATGGGAGATCAAGGTGCAGGAGGTGGGAGTGAATTTTGCTACAAAAAGGTCTTGGGAGTAAATGGGACCAAAGCCAGACTGCACGGACTTCAGCCTCACTTCTTTTGAGTTCCAGCTCTCTGCCCAGACCAGCTACTCCTTAGTAGCTGCAGGACCTTGAACAAATGTTTTGCTTTTTTTCCTTTTTGAGACAGGGTCTTACTATGTAGCCCAGGCTGGTCTTGAACTCATACTGACCTGCCTGCCTCAGCCTCTCAAGTGCTGGCACTACAGGCATGTGCCACAGACCAGGCACCACTATTTTTTTTTTTGGGTACCAGAGATGGAACTCGGGTCCTTGCACTTTTGCAGCAGGTGGCAAAACCACTGAGCTAAATCCCTGGCCCCCGCCACCACTATATTAAAACGACCCCAAACTACAAATGAGAAAACTAGGGTCTTTCGAGGCTTAGCCATAGAGATCACAACTGATGAAACTTATAGGTGCCAGGTTCCAGGGCTCATGCTGGAAACCACTGTGCGGTCCAGCCTCTCTGTTTTGTTCACAGGTCTCTCTCTGAGGCAGAAATTAGGTCCTTTTTAGTTCGGGGTCCCACATGCCAAGTTCAGAGCTGGCCTTGAAGGGGGCTCACAAACATTGTCTCAATTAATACATGAGGAAGGTAGTAATCCCCAGCAACTTCTGTAACTATCTGCTTCTATACTGCAGACTGACTGGAAGCACTTCAATGGCACAGATCTATGTTCCAAGGGCTGGAAGGCTGACTTTCAATCCGTACTTGTAGCTGAATGAATAACAATGACCACAGTTAAGGCCCTGAACATTTTCTACTTCCCATGTAGCCTAACCAGGTCTTTATGTGCCCCAGCTCACAAAATCACTATGGAGTGACAGCTTTGATTATTCTGGGTTTACAGATAAAGAAACTGAGGCATGGGGAAGTTAAGGAGCCAACCCAGGGCATACAGCTCCTCAGAGGAAGAACAAGAGTCTTCCACAAGCAATCTGCCTCCAGAACTTGCACTCTAGTCCCCTGGGCTCTGAAGAGATCAGCAAGCAAGCTCTAGGCCTCTAGCGCTGGTCCCCAAAAGAGGGCTGGAGTTAGGGTTCAGCCACTACCTTGTACTGTGGTTTCAGGCGTCCCTTGTTCCCTCACAGGGCTGTTATCATGAGGAACAAATCAGCTAACATCTGTGAGGTGCTCAACAGGAAGCTTAATCCACAGTGAGCATAGGCAAAGAGCTTGGATTTTCTCATTTAACATTTCCTGAGCATCTACGCTCCTCTTTGTCCTGTGCTAAGGACATCAAGAGCAGACAGACATAGTATCCATGCCCTGAAAACAGGTAATGGAATGAAGGCCTGTGTGTGCTCGGGTAGAGGAAAAGAGTGCAGAGAGAGTTTCTGTAATCCCGTTGGGGGCAGGGTCAGAGAGAAAGACAAGAGGTTTGGGAGGATGACAGACATTTCTGAACAAGGTCCAGGAGGCAGTGTGGGTGTGGGGCAGGGGCTACCCCAGTAAAGGACTTTCCCACATGAAAAGCGATCAATAGTCAGACTGTCCTCAGAAGAGGGAGCATGAAAAGTGAGAAAAAATGTTACAGCACACATCACAACATTTAACAGTATGCGTGGCACATACTAACCACTCAATATAAACAGCTGATATTAAGGGGAAGGATTCTGGAGCCAGAGAGCTTAGGTTCAAGGTTCTGGACTGGGGATTTAGTTCAGTGGTGCCATGAATGCCTCATAAATGCAAGGTCCCAAGTTCAATCCCCAGTAGCAGAAAAAAAAAATTTCGGTTTCTGCCACTTTCCTTTCCACATGACTTTGGGCCTCAGCTTCATCTCAAATGAGGGACTAACATCCTCCTCACAAAGTTGCTGTGAGGGTTATGGGAGTTCATAAACAGAAAGCAGCCTGTGCACAGTAAATATGAAAGCATACACTACGATATGCACTGTAGAAGCACAAGCCCCACAGAGGATTAGATACCTGTCGCAGGTCCCACAGCCAAGTGAGAAGTGTGTCAGCAATGGAACTCAGGCCTGTCCAGCCACTTACCAGCGGCTCCAAGTCCGGCAGACTCGCATGCAGACACACAGCTCTCGGGGCCCAAGGTGCTGGAAGACACGAAGCCAGGCAGCCCGGGGCAGAGGGTGGTCGGATCCAGCAGCCAAAGGCAGTGTGTCAGGCTCAGGGCTCCGAGGGGGGGGGCGTACCACGTGCCGCTCCAGCTGTGGGGGCCGGGGTGGTGGAGCCGGGCCCAGGGGCCAGCTGAGCAGGGGTCCCCCACTGCCAGGGCGCACGGCCCGCCGCCCCCCACGGTTCTCCTTCTCGCCAGAGCTGCCCCGGGCTGGCCGTCGCCCATTCCGGGCCTCGCCAGGGGCCTCATCCTCACTCAGCGATGTGCCTGATGAGTCTGAGTCGGAGTCTGAGTCCGAAGAGGAAGAAGAAGTGTCAGGCACCCGCTCCAGCAGCTGGCACATTCGCTTGAATCGTTCTAGCTTCTCCCTCTGGGGTGATGGGGATGGCACCACTGGGCCCTCAGCAGAGGCCAAAGGTGGCTTTGGTTTCTGCAAAGAGACAGGTTGAGGCTGTTCGAGGGTCTAGGACACACTTTCCTAACCCCTTACCCATGAGGAGTCACCAGGGGAAGAACAGCCCAAGGGACAGTCCTGAGTTCCACACTGCTCCCAGTGTGAGACCCTGGCCATCTCTGGACTTCAGTTTCCTTATCTGGACGAGGAAGGTGTCAATGCCAAGGATTTAGAGGCTTATGGCTTTTGATGACGTGTGAATGTCCCAAAGCAGAAAGGTACAGAGAAGAGTTTTGAGTGCTGGCCTGCCCATCAATTGATTGGCCCTGAGAAGCCCCTGCTGCACCAGCTATGACATGCAAGGCTACACCCCACAGTTCTGAATGTCTACTAAACAACATGAGAGTAACATGATCATCTGGCCCTGTGTGGAGCATGAACTCTCACTGACTCATTAAGTTCTCAAAGTGAACTAAAATACTGGCTATGTGAGCTACTCTTTTTAGACATGGGAAACCGAGACTCCAAGAGACTGCATGAATTGTCCAAGTTAAAAATTGGCAAATGGTAGAGAGCAGGGTTTGAACACAACAATCAGGTAAACCCTTGCATTTAGTGAGTGCAAAGTAGTATCTGAATTCTGTCCTGTGTGGCACTGGGCAATACTCTTAACCTCTCTGGGTCTCATTCCTCTTGAATCCAGGTAAACGTTATAGTTTACAAAGTTCATTTACTTTCATGATCCCATTAGATTTATACAGTGCTCTGGGATAGGTAGGTCATGGTGTGCAGCTTCATCTCCATTTTACAGATGAGGAAATGGAGGCTCAGAACCACTGAGAAGCTGCCAAGATCAAGCGAAACAGTAGCTGGGCAGGAATTTGAACTCAGCTCTTTCCCCTTTAAAGCTTGGAGAGATGAAGCAAATGGGGGAGAAGACATCTTAGGTGTTCTTGGGAGGTGAGAGATTCTTGCAGCCTGGACTCAACCCACTCTCCCACCCAACTCTGCCCAGGGGTCCAGACACCCACAGGGAGTCACACGGGGCTGGGACAGGACAAGGGGAGCAGGAAGGGTCAGAGCTTAATAACCATGGTGGAGGGTGGGGTCAGGGAAGGTAGGAGGGGGTGGGAGGAGGTCCCTGGCACACCTCCCAGTTCTCGGGAGGGAGCCCAGGGTGGCAGGACGAGAATGCCTGGCTCGGATTCAGAACCCTGGGGGGCAGAAGGCCTGGGCCGCCTGGGTCCGATCCTCGGAGGAGGCAGGCGTCTCCACCCACCTTCTTCAGGTGCCTCTCTCTGCCTCCTTTCACCTACCAGAGCAAGAGGGAGATATGGGGGAAGGGACAGACCCCATTAGGCCCCCAATGCCTGCAAAACTAAGGTCCACGCCCTCCTAAGACTACAAATCCCAGAAGCCCCCATCCCAGGGTGAACGCTGAGCATGCTCACCTTACAATCAGTGTCTTGGCTTACTGAGCATGCTCTCATCTTCTCTTTCTTCGCCCTCAGGCTCTTTCCAACCCCTCCCTCCTCTGTAGCAGTTTGAGCACGCTCTCTCTTTCCTCCCTAACCCACCCAGGCAGGGCTCCCAAGGCTTCCTGGTCGGTACCAGTTCCCCCTCACCTGTATTTCTTCACAGGAAGCATGCTCTACCTCTGAACTACTGAACTACATTTCCCAACATCTCCTCCTTGGAGGAACTCAAGGAGGCTGTTTCCCAGGCCCACCCACAACAGAAAAATAAAGGGGAGGGCAGAACTACAGCTCCCAGAATCCCTTAGGCTGGACCTAGTGAGCATGTCCCATGGCTCACCTTTTTTCTTGGGGTGGGGGGCTCATTCCCTGCCTCCCTCTCCTTTCGTTTGGGGGGCCCAGGCACGTCCTCAGGCGGGGGGCCAGCAGGTAGAGGGCCCTTGCGCCTGGGTGGAGGCGGCGGAAGTGGCGGCTCCTCCGTCAGCTTCCATCCACTCCCAAGGCTGGCACCCTCCTCACCGTTGTCAGCCCTGCGGCGGCCTGGCCCCTCACCTGAATCCTGGGGAAAGGGAAGCCGGGGGTGAGGCTTGTATACCTCCCCAATCCCCTACCTGCCCAGAAGGCAGCACTCAGCCCAGCTCTGCCCTACCTTGCTGGTTCGGCCTTCCTGGGTACAGCGAGGGCACTCCCAGCAGTTGGGGATCTCCGCATTGATGACGCCCTCAGCCTTCCCCATCTGTAGGCAAGAGGATAGGGAGTGGATGGAGGGTCCTGGTAGTCCCAGGGGGATGTGGCCCACCCCCTTGCTCCCTGACAGTCGGCCCCAGCCCAGACTCCAGGGTCCCCACAGCTATCACCTTCAGGCAGCCAGGGTGGACGATCTCGTTGCAGATTGTACACTCCATGAGGCTCAAACCAAATTTCTCTTCCTCTCCCTCCACTGTGTCCTCCTTCCCAGCCTCCCCACACAAGAGGCACACAGCTGTGTGTGGGAGCACGGGCTGTTGGGGGAGAGGGTACATCAGGGACCCCAAAAGCAAACAACAGGGGAAGGACTTCCTTCTGGGGACCCCGGCCAGCTTCTTGAGATTCAGAACCCATACGCAAAGCTGAGTGAAATCTTGAATTTGTTTCTTTTGGCAGTATGACCTCCCAGCCACTGATTGAACCTCAAGTCTGTTTCTGCATCTGTAAAATGGCGCTAAGAATCTCCCTTATAAGGCTGTTGTAAGGACAAGATAATGTGTGAAAGACACTTGATACATAGTTGTTATTATCACTGCTGTGATTGTTACAGCTGGATCCAAGGCCAGTGTGACCCTGAAATTATAGCTGGCTTTAGGGAGAGGCAAATATGACAATAATATTCAGAGAAAGCTGGGGAAGATGCAGCAGCAGCTTGGGGGCGATCCTGACGAGCAGCCTAAGGGTGGCTCTGATCCTACAGTGAACCTGAGAACACTAAAGGCAGCTGCCTAATCCTGGGGGAAATGGGTGCAGTCTTCAAACAATGAGACTTTGGGGAAGACAATGGTGATACTGCATCACAGGAGAGATGAAGGTTGTGAGACAGGAGCAAGGAAAGAGCAGGTAGGAAGAGAAGAGATTAGCAAGTGAAGCAAGGGGTCAGGAGACCGAGGAAGAGAGGTACTGTGGGGTGAAAAGTCCAAGCCAGGAAAGAGTGGCAGGAGGAAGAGAGGGAGGTGGTGGTGTGGGAGGGGGATGCAGGATGCAGCTGGCTCCTCAGGGCTGTCAGAGCCTGGGGCCACTCTCAGAAGCCTGGGGCCTCTCAAAAGCTGGGAAGGCAGGGAGGAAGCTCACGTTTCCCTCATACCTACTCTGTGCTGGCCTTGTGGTATTTGTTTAATCTTTACAACTTAGCAAAGGAAATATTTTATTTTATTATTATTTTTTTGGTACTGGGGATCGAACTCAGGTCCTTGCGCTTGGGCAGCAGGTGGCGAAACCACTGAGGTAAATCCCCAGCCCAAGGAAATATTTTAAAAAGAAGGTACCTGGGGTTCAAAATGACCTGCTCAAGGTCAAACAAAGAGGGAGCCTGGTCTCAAATTCAAGACTACCCTGATGGGGAAGGATGAGGCCAGAGAAAGGCAAGAGGTCTTCCTAGGAGACAGGTCTGGGAACAGACTTTTCACGCATAAGTAACTGGGGAGCAAGAGCAGGGGCTGAGCCTTCCACAGGCCTGTGCTTCTGACAGCTGGAGAGAGGAAAGGCAGGGGCTGGGTCAGGTCCTTCCGTGCACCTTAACACTGCCCCCCAACTTGGAGATAAGAGGAAAAATGGACATTTAAACAGACCAGCAACCGAATACAGGAAGTGAGTGAATAAACAGCAACTCTGGGAAGCAGTCACCAGCCACCCCAAAAGGCACACGTGCCAGTGTGAAAGATGTTCTGGGGAAGTGGGCCCAGAGCTTCAAAGGGGCCCAACAGTGGCGGGGGCAGAACTCACAGCAGTGCACTGCCGGAGCAGGCACGACTGCTTCATGCGCCCGGGCCCCCCGAACTTCTTCATGTCTCGGCAGAAGTGGCAGTCCCCGCACTCAGTTCGCACACAGGCCCGGCAGCGACGGCAGCGGGTTCGGCGTCGGCGCGCTCCGGCCCCCGGCCCCCGGCTGCTCGACGACATTGGGGGCGTCAGCAACGCCGAGGGCTGTGGGTAGATGGTGGCAGGGTTAAATGGGCCCACTGGGGCCCTGGCCTGGGAGATTACTGGCAGCTCAGCCCCAACCCTGGGCAGTCCAAGCTTGCCCTCCTACCTAGGGGGACAAGGAGGTCATCCCTCCCATGTGTGTTTCTGTGTTGGGGTGGGGACCACTCTCGATTCAAGGTCTCTCCCTCTTTTAGCAGCTTACCCAGTTTCTCAGAGAGCCATCAGAACTGGCTTCCCAACCTCACTCCTCCTCTACCACTTCCTCAGTGCCCCTTCCCTAGCTCAGGATAAAGGGTTACTGGGGCCACTCCCCCGACATTCCCAAGCTCAAGCTCTTTGCAAAAGCCAGAGGCTCCCTGTCTAGCGTTATGTCAGAGAGGTTCCAACTCTTCCCATTACCCAAATGTAGAACACTCCAGACTCTCACCAATCTAAAATTCCCCAGATTCACCTCCAAGACTCCAAATTCGTAAGCAGAAGCACCAGACCTTTTCTCTCTCTCTCCTTTCTCCTTCTCATAGGTAACAGCCATCCAATCTTTTTCTCCCAGATTTCAGCATCCTCGTCAGACCCAATGGGATCCTCACCCTCATCCCTAATGACCCACTCTGCCCCTCCAACTTCCCAAGACTGACACCTCTGAGATGTTTCTTCAGAATCCCTCTTCAGGCCAGGATCTCAACTCCTCTGTTCCTCACAGAGTCCCCTCACATCCTCTAGGATCCCTCACGTCAACCTGGGCAATCTCCCAGATTCCCTGGGATTCTAGAATCCAGCCTGATGTCTCCACAGAACTCAGGATGGGCTCCGTCTTAGATTCCCCCAGCTTCCCAGGCTGCTTTCCATACCTAATTGTCTGGAATCCCTGGGGCTCCCCTCCCCATGGAAACCAGATCCTCCAAGATCCCACAGGGACTCAGCAGGCCTGGAGGGTCTCTTCCCAGTCAGTCTTACCCCAGATTCCCCTTTCCAGGGACCTATCCACCGGGGTAAGGGACCCTCCAGCGGTCCGGGGGGAGGGGCCTAGAGGGCGGCGACCGCAGGGGGCAGGTAGAGGGGTCTGTAAGGGGAAGCAGGGTCTGGGGAGGAAGGCCAGTTCCCCGGGCTGAGAGGTTAGAGGAAGGAGAGCTGGAGGAGTTTGGAGCAGAGGGAGGGTGAGGCCAGGGGCGAAGGTAGAGAGGCTGGGCTGAGGATGAATGGGAGTGGGAGCTGCCCGGGTCTGGGGGTGAGGAGGAGCCGCATGAACCCACCTCACACGTGTCCCGGGAGCCATCTCTCCCTTCTCGGCAGCTCCCGGCGGGTCGGCGGCCATCGGCAGCGGGGGGGCCGGGCGGCGCGGGGCGCGGAACGCTCAGAACGCCGGGGTCCACGGCCCCCCGAGGGCGCTCGGCCCCTCCCTCCGGTGGAGGCCGGGACGGCGGCGAGTGGAGATGGGGGGCGCCGGGGGCGAGGCCCTCCCACGGGCTGCGGCGCGGCCCTTCCAGGGGGAGGTCCTCCTCTGGGGGGCTCAGTCCCTCAGCCCCCCCAGGCCAACGGGGGCTCCCCGGGCGCAGGGTGCTCAGCTTCTGCCCGGCCCCGCTCAGTCCCGGGTCCGAATCCCAGCTCCCCTCCCCCCGCCCCGTCCCGCCTCTCCCGGAGCCCCCGGCCCTTTAACTGGCCCCTTCCCGGTTCCCACTGCCCAGGGGTCCAGGGACTGGCCTGCGCCCCCCACCGTTTCCGGGGTTCAAGCCCCGCCCACCGCCGGTTCCCGGGGAGGGGGGGGTCGCTGTAACCTGCCCCCCTCCCCTGGGCCCGCCCCTGGACTGCGCCCCCTGCTCTACGGCGACAGGGCGAGCGGAGGGGGCGAAGGAAGCCGCTCGGCCCCGCCCCCCAGCCAGCGCGCGCCCCCGCCCTCCCCCTCCCCCAGCGCGCGACCCTCTGAAGCTAGGAATTTAAATAAAATTTGAATAAACCCCCTCCTCGAGCGGGAGCGTGGGAGGAAGGGAGCGTGGGGCAGGGAAGGACAGGGGGCAGCCGGGGGGTCTCAGCCCCCCTGGTCCCACGGCCCCGCGCTGCTCCGGCCCGGGGCCCTGGCCGCCTCTCTCATCCCTGCTCAGCTCTTCCTCCTTCCTCCTCTCTCGCCCTCCCTCCTTCCCTCCCTCCCTCCCCCTCGCCTCCTCCTCCCCCTCTACTCCCTCCTTCTCCCAGAGGAACCGCCCCCTGCCCCGGCCTCCCGCCACCTCCTCGCTTTCCAGGATGAACGCGCGCGCGAAGCACGCCGAGAGTTGTAGTTCTGCGGGCGCCGGCGCTACTGCGGAAACAAGGGCGCGCCGGGCCGGCGGGCACTACAAACAAGATGGCGAGGCGCGCAGACCCGGGCGCCGAGGACGCCGGGAGTGTTAGTCCGGCTGGCCCGAGGCGCCCCGCTGCCGAGCATAGAAAAGGAGCGGGAGCGAGGACTACAAACAAGATGGCCTCCCCCCCACCCCCACCCCGACCTCCTTCCCAGGCGCTCACGCGCCCTCCTATCCACAACCCTCCGCGTGTGTAGTACCTGACGGGAGTCGCAGTCCATCTGCTGCCTTCCCGCTGCCATTTCTACTCGTCAGGAACAATGGAAAGGTGAAAAGGAAAGAGGACTACAAACAAGATGGCGGAAGAGGGGCGTACACCTGACTAGCCGTCGAGCTCATGAGGTGCGTTGGGAATAGTAGTTTTCTAGCCGTCTACTGTTCCTTAAGAATGGCGGGACCAGGAGAATAAAGAGACTACCGTAAAGATGGCAGGCTCCCTGGCCTCTCCTGGGCGCCTCATTCAACCACCTTGGGTGCCTCGCCCGCCTCTCAAAATCCCGCACCCGGCGGCGCAAAGCCCGACGGGAGTTGCAGTCTTCCCGCCGCCTCAGCGCCTCAGCGGAGACAATGGCCGGGAGGGCCGGGGCGGGGACTGCAGCAAGATGGTGGCCAGAGGAAAGGGGCGGCGACTTGGGAATTGTAGTCCGGGCGCTACGGCATTCCCTGCGGAAACGCGGAGAAGGACTACAACAGAGATGGTGGCCGCCACTCGCCCTGTGCGCCAGCGCCTGCTGGGGGACGTAGTCCCTCCTGAGCGCTGCGGGAGAGCACGTGGGCTGCAGAAACGGGCACCGCGGACGAGCCGCACTGCGAGCCGCCGGAAGCGGAAGTCTCTCCGCGCCACCTTTCTGGACGGCCTGTAGGGAAATGTAGTCCCAAGCGGGCACTCGCCAGTGAAGGAGAACTGGTGTCACCAGCGGGCATCAGTGCGGGAGAGGGAGAAGTGCCCGGGACCTGTGTGGTGAGGATTTCATATTCGAGGGAAGTCCCTTAAAGGAAAGCGACATTAATCAGTACTGACGCGACCAGGGAGACGCAGCTGTCGCCGAGAAGTGCACTCACGCCGTGGACGCTTGGAAAGCTGCGGCATCTCCCACACGATGCTTGTTCCCCCTCGTACTTTACGGGTCGTGAGGGCCCCAGAGGAGACGCTGCGGTCATAGACACATCCCTGCCCCGCCCTGGGAAGTCACCAAACCTCGGTTTTCTCACCTGAAAAATGGGGCTGATGACACCCACCTGGAAGCAGAGTCGGGAATGGTAATTGCTCGCCCAAGTTCCCAGCTTTGGTACGGGGCACGTGACGGTAGTTACTTTTTCACGGTCTCTTCCACCCCAGCCTTTCTGGGAGCCCGGACAGAGTTAGCTTTTGTGAAAAGAAACTGCCAGGCAAGCTACCCCCCGTCTTGAGCTGCCCCCAGCCCTTCTTATGTGGGTCATCCGCCTCCACTACCGAACGCTGCTCCCAGGGGGCGCACCATCTCCATTTGACTGAGCTCTTGCAAACTGGCCAAATTCCCCAACCTGAAGTTACAGGCGCTGCCTCTTGCCCTTCCAGATTTCCAGTCCGCTGCCCTGGACCCTCAGCTGGCAACGCGAATGGAAGTGCTCCTCACCACGGTGCTATCTTACTTGGCTTCTTCCTGCTCCGCTGGGAAAGCTGCTCGCTGTTGACCCCTCGCCAGCCCCTCTCCTTCCCTCTCCTGTGTTTGGGGGCCCTGCGGAATATTTGGTGGGTGTGGTTTCTCTGTCAGGAAGTTACCTCTGGCCAGTGTAGTGTGAAGTCCCTAGTTGGCAGGGCTGAGGTCCGTATAGCTCACACGATCAGAAGTCAGGAAATCCTTGGCTTCCAGAGAATTCTGTCTCCTTGTTCTCACTGCTGTAGCTTGCAGGGTTGCGTTAGGGGTTTCTCAAGAATTGTTTCCTGGGCCTGTTGTACTCTACTCCACTTCCCATCTAACCTCTCCAACCAGTTAATTGTTGCTTTCAGGTCCCTATGTATTTATTTATTTATTTTATTTTATTTTTTTGGTACCGGGGATCGAACTCGGGTCCTTCCGCTTGCTCAGCAGGCAGCGAAACCTCTGAGCTAAATCCTCGGGCCCTCAGGTCCCTGTTTAAATGCGTCTGTCCCGACATGTAAATACCAAATAGCTTCTCTGGTGTGAGAAACTGAAAGTGTAAATAAGAATCAAAATGTGTAACAGATAATGTGAAACAGGAAGAAAAGGTCTAAAGGGGAGGAGGAAGTGGGGGGGTAGGGGAAAGGAAAGAAGGGAAAGGAAAAAATTTGAGAAAAGGAAAAAATGGAAACACAGTCTTTGTAAATAGGGAGGGGTGGAGGGGTTGAAGGGAAGGGAGGGGAATGGGGAAAAAATAAGAACCAAGATGTATCATGTAAAGGTACAAATTCCCAATGATGAATGTCATTATATTATATACCTAAAATGCACCAATAAACTTAAGGAAAAAAAAATAAATGCTTCTGTCCCAAGGAAGGTTTCTTGTAATTCCCAGCTGAGGCTCATGTATTATTGTCTGTTCCAATAACTTGTAAGCTTTATAAGGCATCCATCTCACATGTTACCAAGTGATCACATCTGTGTCTTTCGATGTCCCATGTGATCCTTATAAAAATCCTACAAGGTTGAATTCCATTGTATAGAGGCAGAGAACTTGGGCACCTCAACTATACACAACGGATAAGTGACAGAACTAGAATGCATTCTGCAGAATTCAGAGCCTTTGCTCAGAACTACAACGTTCAGAGACTGGTAAGTCCAGCCACCTGTGTTTGATTTTTGGTTTGGGGGGAGGGGTTTATCTGTTTGTTTGAGATGTTCTCACTAGTCCAGGCTGGCCTCCAGCCATATGTGTTTAGCATAGCAACAAAAACAATTTCTCATGGAAAAATGAATTTGATTGTCATTTTCTCTTGGAAAATCCTTAAATATAGTAATACTGGATCTGTATTTCTCGAACAAGAAACACCTGGAGCAGTTCAGTGGCTCGCCCTGTTGGACAAGATATACACTTCCTACATCTCACAGTCTTCACTTGGCTTTCTTCCTCTTAATGTAACCATGGTGAGCCCAACTCCATCACCTGAGGCACTCAGAATAAACCTATTGAGAGTCCAAACACTTTCTTATACTCATAGGTGGGTGGGAAGGAGGATGGTAGAATAAGGCTGCAAATAAAGAAAAACTTTTACTCTTCACTTTAAAATCTTTGTCATCTGGGCCGGGGATTTAGCTCAGTGGTTCCGTCGCCTGCCTCGCAAGCTCAAGGACCCAAATTCAATTCCCGGTAACCCCCCCAAAAAATTTTTATCATGAGCAGACATTATTTGTATACTTAAAATGTGAGTTGAAAAATACTATCATATAGCCACATTCACATTGCAATATACAAACAACAGACCTCAGACATAAGTAAACTCAGGGAATATAACACCAATGAGCCCCAATCAGTTCTTTTTTCTTTCTAGAAAAAAGTTATTTGGAACTGGGCTTGGTGCTGCACAGCTACAATCCCAGCTATCTGGGAGGGAGGAGGGTCACTTGAGCCCAAGAGTTAGAGGCCAGCCTTGCCAACACAGATGATACATAGATAGATAGATTTTTCTAGAGCCTTGTTCATCTTATTTGTTATTTCCCCTGTTACCACTTCAGAGAGTCCAGGTGAGTGGTTTTTGGATTATTCCAACTCATTGCCCCCTGAATTTGCCTTTGCTAAGCTGGAAGTCGGGGGAGGGGGGGATTGCATCTTGTTTAGGTGTCTTCTCATTTTCTTTCTTTTTTTTTTTTTTAAAGCTTAATTGCTGGGTTGATACTATAAATTGCTTATGGCAAGTAGCTTTAATGCCAGTATTCCAAACCCTTAGGAAATGACTACTTCTCAGAGGTGTCTTCCAGACATAGCTGGCTTTTGGGTTTTTCAGTCTGATGCAAGATCCTATTTCTTTAATTTATTGAGGATGAGAAGTTTCTCCCTCCTTGGCCCAGTCGCTGATTCTTTGGGACTGCCCTATAGTTTTGTTTTTTTGTTTGTTTGTTTTTTCGGTACTGGGAATCAAACTCAGGACGTTGTGCTTGTTTCGAGGCAGGCGTGGTGCCACTGAGCTAAATCCCTGGCCCCTGTTTTTGTTTTCTTTTAAGACCCTTAGACATTCTCAGTCTTGATATACCAGGAAGAACAACTGATTAGCACAATTATGTCACCTTGGCTAAAGTAGTACAATCAGCAATAACAATAGGATCAAATACAGCCTATAAAATGACAAACTGTGGTAACTATTAATTTGCCACTTTTAATCATCTGAACTAGATTTGTGGTTATATAACAAAATCTAAGGGCCGGGGATTTAGCTCAGTGGTTTCACCGCCTGCTGTCCAAGCACAAGGACCCGAGTTCGATCCCTGGTACCAAAAAAAAAAAACAAAAAAAATCTAAAACAAACCAGAAAATAGCATGCAATAAATAAGCCCTTAATACATTGATTTTATCCTTCAGGGAGAAGATTTAAGAGGGGTTATGGGGAAAAGATAGAGAGAAGAAAAGGAAGAGATTAGAAGCAATGCTGGAGGACCAAGGAGGATTGTACAAACATTGGGAAACTGGTGAAGAAGACAGGAGGGAAAAAGAAAAGAAGAAACAAGAACAGATCAACACAACAACAAAAAACAGAAACCATGTTCAAACAATCAAGAAAAAAAATAAAACAAATCAAGAACAAGAACTAGAAAAGAGGGGAAAAGAAAGAAAAAAGAAAAGGAAAAAGAAAAAAACAGTCCAATTCAAGAT